GCCTCATACATGCAAGGCATGCACTCTACCACTCACTGAGCTACACCCCCAGCAGTCAATTTGTATTCTATTGCTGTTTTGATTGCATTAGCTAACTACTAGGAATTTGAACATTTTTTAGTATTCTTTATTTTAAAATCTTTTAAATTTCTTTTAAAATTCTTCTGTCTGTTTTTCAAAAGCCTTTTATTCACCATTCATTTATACACAAGTCTGCAATACTAAGTCATTGTTACAGGCCCAGTTAAGCATAGCTGTAGCACAGGACACAATAAAGGAAGGAAATGTATTTGTGTTTTTTCTGACCTGGCCAATAAGATGAAAAGTGAAAGTCAGTGTTCCCCCTAGGTGGTTTTGTCACCACCCCAGCACCTGGTTTCTCTGCGCCTCTGGTCCACAGCCCTGTTTCCTTGTTAGTGATGTCTGGTTTAGCTGTGGGTGAGGCTGGGTGAGGCTGGCTGGAGGAGGTTCTCTTGAGTGCCACGGCACATTTGTTTTCTGCCATTGTCTAACTGAACTGGTTACTCTGTGAAGTGTGTTGTTAGTGCTCATAGCTGTTGTTTTATTAGCGTTATTAATAGAGAAGCATGTGCTACAGTGAGCGTGTGAACAGGAGACCCTGGTCTGTGGCTGGTTAGCCTTTGTTACAAATGCAATTGTTAGACCTAGTCTGGCTATCCACAAGTCCCTCCCATTGTTTCTGTCCACCTGATACTCTGGGCAAAGCGGTAATGTGACTGGGTCTGCCATTGGCACTCAGGGCTGCTATTTCTCTCTGGTCCTTAGTCTATTTAGTTATCTTCATGTCTACCAAACCTGTGTCTTTGAAATTTCAATGTGACTGTAATTCAGAACAGCAGGAGTGTCAGGCTAAGGGTCTCTCTGTCCTTCATTCCTTATCAGTTGTAACACTCAAAGGTACCTAGATATTCTTAGCCCTCTGCTGTGAGGTAGTGGCTTCAGTCATTAGTAACCATCCTACCCAGAGTGATGTTACTCTCTGTGACTAGGAAAGGGGGGACACAGCTGGATTCCCATAGTCTATTGTTCTATTACCTAGGAGGCTGGAGGCTGTGTGTGGCCCTCCATACCTTCAGCACTTCTGGAATTGTAGGTCTAAGGTAAAAACAGTCACACTTATTTTTCAGTACTGGGGACTGAACTCAGGGCCTCATGCTTGCTATCAAGTCTGCCCTTTTGCTTTTTAGTTTGTTTTTCAGATAGGGCCTCATACTTTTGCTCAGGCTGGCCTTGGAGCTCAGTCTTCCTACTTGTGCCTCCTGAGTACCTGGGATATAGGCATTTGTCACTGTACCCAGCCAATAGTCACACTTCTGATATTTACCAGGGATAGAAAAGAGACATTTTCTCTAGGGTATTTTTGCCCAGGATAGAATTTGGATTGAAATTGAAATATCACTTCCCTTTGCCTCATGTGGTTACAAAGGGACAAGTTTTTCCCTGATCCATGAACATCAAAAAAGATGAGGGCCAGTAGGCCTGCACTGTGCCAGGAGGCCAGAGTAGATGTGCAACAGGCACCAGTGCTTTGGGGGTCATCAGCAGTTATGTTCAACCACTCCTGGAAGAAGAGAGATTGTTTCCCAGATGAGGACAGTGAGGCCCAGACTGTGCTTGCCTGGTCACCTCCCAGAAAGGGCCTTTGTGTGCAGGGTTGTGTGGATCTGCAGCCAGCCCTTTTCCACTGCAACGGGAAGTGTTCCTTTAGGACCAAGGAGCTCCTGTATTCCCCCGCTCACTCTGTGCAGGCGCAGGTAGCAGACTTGCCAGTTGCAACTGGCCTGTGTCTCTTTTGGCACCAAGCATAAATGTGCACTGACTGGGGTGGAAATGAGCAGGCCCCTGTCTCAGCAGGCCCACAGGTCAGCATCACTACAAACAGGCATCACGTCTGCATTAGGCACTCGGTCTGAGAAACCTTCCTTCATAACTTGCCCCAGCTGGCCAGTGTGAGTCATGTGGCTTCCAGGGTAACTGTGTCATTGCCTGGCTGGGAACCAAGCACTCTCAGCAAACCCTGGGCCAAAGGCACACCAAGTAGCTCAGTTCTATTCTTAGAAAAAACAAATCACAAATCTTAGTTCATTAGGTAACCACACCAGCTGGAAAGGGACGTCTGGGCAAAGCTCAGATTCCCATGGTGAAGGTGCTAGTCGCCTCCTGGGGGGTGGGAGGAGCCTCTGTACTTCAAGGTCAGGGGTCAGGGCTCTCCATCAAGGCCTATGGTCAGAGTCAGGTGATCCATGGATGACTCAGACCCTACACTTAATTGTGATGTCACTGCAGGTGACATTTCATTTAGAAAATGAGATGGATTTGGGGAACGGTTGGCTTAGCTTATTTCTATGCTCTCTTTTGGATCTTATGTCTTTAAGATGACTAATTTAATTAAAGCACACCTTGCATATTAAGGTAGAAGAATAATAACTTGCACCATAAGATTTTTGTTTTCTCCTGAGTTCACTGTCTCTTAATTATGCTCCCTCAGGTATGAAAAAGTAACAACCACCCTCTCTGGTTAAGCGTGCCACTTTCCTAGACACTTGGGAGAATATCTTGTGAACACCTCTTCAGTTATATAACTTCTCTTTCTGCCGAAATTCTCCATGTTGTTGTCTATTTGTGTTTTACATTTTGTTATGGGAAATGTGAAACACATGCAAAAGAACTGTTAGTTAGTGAACTCCATGGACTCATCACCAGCTTCAACAATTACTCAATTTTATCAACCTTGTTTCACCTGCCCTCCACCCCCAATTCCGTGCACATTTGGCAGAGGGAGGGGTGGAGTATTTTAAAGCAAGTCTCAGGCATCGTATCATTTTACTGTTAAGCACTTTCCTTCCTTCCTTTGTTGTTTTGTTTCAGAACTGCAGTTTTGAACTCAGGGCCTTGCCAGACAAGTACTCTCCCACCTGAGGCAACACCCCTAGCCCATTTTTGCTTTAGTTATTTTTCAGACAGGGTCTCATACTGTTGGCCTGGACTGGCCGTGGACTGCGATCCTCTTCATAGGTGGGGTTATGGGTGTGAGCCACTGAGCTTGGTCTTTACGTTGTGTTTCTGCCAGAGAAGCCCTCTTCGTTTGTGAAATAGCTACAAGTCATTATCATACTCATCTAGATTAACAGTGATGTAGGAGTTCTGTGAATTTTGGTGAATTTAGGGAAGAAGGGGTATTTGGATGAAAAATCTCTGGTCTAGATTTACTCTTTTCCTTCCAGAAAAAAAAAATGGTAGAATTCATGGTGGAGGATCTTGAGGCTTAAGGTAGCCCTTATAAGACTTTCAGAAGGAAATGTGGGAGAGACCTGTTGGTTCAGAGCATCAGATGTAGCTAGTATTTCCTAGGACCAAAACTGTGCTCATCTCCATAACCATCACCTCCTTTCACCTTCACATCAAGGCTGAGACTAGAAACCAAAGCTGTGGCAGGAGCTTCCCAAATACTACCTTCCAGTTTCAGCAGGAGAACGTTATAATGTCACCACGACTCTCTTGAATCAGCAGGAAGGTTTCCATTTAGTGTCAGTACACAAAGCTGTTTGGTTTGTGTTTTAATCTAATCAGACCTTTAACTCCTATAGAAACAATAACTGGTTTATTCTTTGAGTCCCTTAGGAAGTAGTTATTCAAGGATAATGTGTCAGAGAGCAAGAATGTGAACATGCCTTCCTCTGCCCAGCCCAGGCTAAGGGATTCCACTGGCTTCCCTCTCTCCAACCCTTTTCCCCAAATGGATAGCGAGGTAAGGTGGCCCCTGACTTACAGGGGTTTCACTCAGGAACTTAATGATGCAAAAGCGATATTCACTCAGCATATTGAATTCTGGTCTTTCCCAAGCTAGCAATGTGTGGTTGTGATTGTCTCTGGGCTGCTAGACAGTGGTAGCACCTGCAGCTCCCACTCAGCTGTGCAATCAGGAGAGTAAACAACTGATGCTGCACTATGTGCTAAGCTGTGATGTTTGGGAGTTTAGGTATGTGCAATACATGTTCAATTATATATATATATATATATATATATATATATATATATATATATATGTTCTTTTTACTGGAGTTTGAACTCTTGGTCTTGTGCTTGCTCTGCTTTCTAAGCAAGCACCCTACTGCTTGAGCCATGCCCCTGGCTCTTTTTACTTCTAGTTATTTTTCAGACAGAGCCTTGGACTTTTGCCTGGGGTCAGCCTTGGACCTCAATCCTCTGCTTCCCTCATAGCTGAAGTTTCAGGCACACACTGCTGCACCTAGTTTCAACTTACCATGTTTTTGAGATTTTGATTGACTCCATGGTAGGTGGAAGAGCATCTGTAAATACAAATCACAGTCACTTACAAGGGTTAGAGGACATTTGCAGGTTTGTACTTGAAAGATTTGAATTTTGCCTTGGAAATGTGTAACGTTTTCTTCAGTAAGGAGAATCTTTAGTGACATGGAGCAGTGCCTCATTACATATGTTCACCAGCAGGAAGAGACCGCTTATTCTGGAAGGGACAAAAGGGAAGGAAGAAAAGAAGGGAATGAAAGAGGAAGGAAGGGAAATAAAGCTCAAAGAACCCCATAAATACCAGAGCGACTTTATGACCCCTCTCAAGGAGCTCTGGGAACTCCTCTGTAGGAGTTTTGTTTGTGTTTAAAATGTCCTGCTGCTGATCCAAATGTGCAGGCCTGTATCTTCCTGGGATTATGTGAAGCAACTGAGGCTTCAGCTTCAGGGCCTGTTCCTTCATCAGTCTTGCCCCTGAGGCGGGGAGCGCAGTGCTAGGCATGTGCCTCAGGCTTGTCAAGAGAATAAACCTCACACCACACCCTGTACGGGCCTGCAGCTCAGCAGTGCAGTTCTCTCAAGGGAATCACGTGCCCATATTCATATCTTGCTAAGACCCAGATTTCCTAGTAGGTAACTTTCCTTATAGCTCTGTAATTTCCTTTTCTAATTGTTAAGGATTTAACCTAGTTTGTATTTCATTTGTGCAGATGAAATTATGCAGCAGGACATCAGACCCTTGGTGGCTGTGGATATCATAGAGCAACTTCACAGACAGTTTGCCATTCTTTCAGGTAAGGGAAAAATTCATTTGTGTTTCTGCATTTTTTTTTTGTGGTAATGGAATTTGAACTCAGGGCCTCTCCCTTGCTATGTAGGTGCTCTACCACTTGAGCCACTCCACCAGATCTCTCTTGTGTTGGGTATTTTTGAGATAGGGTCTTATAAACTATTTGCCTGGGCTGACTTTGAACTGTGATACTTCTGATCTTTGCCTCCTGAGTAGCTAGGATTATAGGCGTGAGCTACTGGTGCTTCCATTTCTGCGTTTTGTTGGGGCTCCTGCTGGGAGGGCCCAGCCTCCTGAACATTATCCCCAAGTCTAACTCTCCCTTTAAGCTTCATCCAGGATTGGAATGGAGTGAGGAGGGGTCTCACAGATGCTGTTCCTTTTGCTGCTGGTGGCAATCTGCTCTCATGGCTTTGAGGTTGTAAAGAACAGAGCTGAAAAGGTCTTGAGGAAGAACAAAGGAATAACTGCTGCCACCAGTGGCCACCATGACCCTCGCCTACTATATTGTGGATGTGTCCCAAGAGTGTTGATTTGAGGGCTGTACCAGCATTGCCGGGGTTCCTTGTTTTCTGAGACATTTGTCTTTTGTGCTTCTCTCCTCTAAGGAGAGTTCCATCAAGTGTTTGGGATAAAGGAGAGGCTGATCTTAATAAAAAGCTACAAATGTTCTGAGCCTAGGTGTAACTCTGAAAAGTTGCCACCACATGAGTCTATTCTTTCTTTTTCACTGTGCTGAGAGTGGTGTGACTTAGTTAGTGAAACTGGACGCACATCCCAAACCTTACACTGTCAGTCCAAACTTGGAAGCAGGCAGTGGTGAGGTAAAGGTCTTTAGCTCCTATCAAAGAGTATGTCTCTTCTGAAAAAACCCCAGCAAAACCATTTGCTGGAATTCTCCATTCCAGGGAATTCGCAGTGATAACACTTTTACTCTACAAGAGAGGATGTAAAAAAAGTCACTCTCTTCTCTAAATCACATTCAGTCTGTTCTGAGCTCAGCTGGCACTTGAGCCAGCATAGCAGACCAGTTCCTGGTCTTTGATGTCCTCTGGCCCTGGCAGAGCTGTAGATGTAGCCACAGTGGGCACCTGTAGTAGAGGTTGGAAAACAGAATGCCCTAGGATTAGAGGCCCATGGTGTCTGCTCTGAGGTACAGCACTTTTCCTTTTCCTAATTCAGATGAGCAAAGTGAGCATTTTCGCCTGCAGAATTTTCTAGATTCCACCAAGCTCTGGAAAGGCCCAGAGGCCCCATCCACCAGGAAAGCTGTGAAGGAGACAATGGGTTTTTTTCTCAGTGGAACCTTAGTTGCTTGGTCAGCTCTGAGTGTGTCCCCTGGCTGGTGGGGAGTGGGGCTCATTGCATGAGGCCTGACCCAGGCTTGTGCCAGATGGTTTGAAACCTTGCACCACCATCCAGAGGCACCATCCTTTCCTTCAGAGCCTTCGCACAGGGAGTCTTCCAAGGTCAGGACGACCAGAGGCCCGATCTCTGGGACCATCTAATTCTAGCCTGGAAGACAGCCTGAGTTCACAGGGAACTTAGAACATTTCTCAGTTCAGAGCTTAAGTAGCAAGCATGTTAGTGCAGTGGGAATATGCTTGACTTTTACATTCCGCTGCTAAATTGCTCTGAATTTTAGTTTGTCATCTGCAAAATGGGTTATAATAAAAGCTCTTGAGAACTACAAGAGGATTTAGTCTGTAAAACCTGTCTTTAAAATCATATAATAAGATATCTGGAGGTAGAAACTCCAGGTATTTGGATCAGGGTACAATAATATCATGGCTGGCATCTTTGTGATTCTCTTGTAGTTTATTTGTTTAGTCTTGATCCCAAGTAGCTGCTGCAGCTCCAGACATCAAGTTTGTGTCCAAAGCAGGAAGAAGGAAAAGAAGCAACATTGACTACATCCGTTTCCTTTGTCAGGAAAGCAGAAGCTTTTCATGGGTACTTTTGTTTTTTTTGGTGGTTCTGGAGTTTGTTCCAGAAACTTTTGACTAGTTTCTGCTTCTGTCTTATTCCAGAGCTATGTCATGTAACCATTCCTTGCAGCAAGCAGCAAGGGAATCTGGGAAGGCAAGCATTGTGCATTCTAACTGGAAGAGGGTCAGTGAAGGGGGGGTTGGGAGTGAATTAGTCATTTATCAGTGTTTGCCATCATGCCCTTGCTTTAATCACGAGGAATTATCCTTGTATATTTCTTTTGATAGCTATTTCCCCTCGGAATTATTATATCTGAATCCCTGACCCCTCATAAGATCTTTAATTATTTTGCGAATAAAAATACAGGGCGAAAATACTCTTAGGCTTGTGGAGTCCCCAATGCAACACAAAGGAAGAATACAGGAAAGCAGTACACACCAATAATGTGTGTTTCAAGAGGATCGGCTGGTTTGGCTCAAGTAGTACAGCATTTGCCTAATAAGCAGAGGCTCTGAATTCAATCCCCAGTACTGCAAGAATAAAATAAATCAAATACACATCAAGCCAGGCATAGCGGAACACACCTGTAATTCCAGTACTAGGGAGATCGAGGCAGGAGACTCACAATTTTGAGGCCCAAGCTAGGCTACATAGGAAGATCTTGTGTATTTAAAATGTATACACATATATCTATATATGTACGAATATTCATCATCACTCCTGCGTCTCCCAGTGGAATGAAAATGAAAAACAAAGTTCTTAAAAAATGATGCATATTTCAATGGCAATAATAAGGAAGCAGTAGTCCTATACTTGGGGCCACCAAGGACATGTGACAGGTGCAAATGCTGGAGCGTGGTGTGAGTGACCACACACTCTTCGTGGTGTTACTGTAGTAATTCTCTAAACTTAACAATTGTTAAGTTTAGATTCTGAGCAAGGTACAGTAACACCTTTCATCAATTTATAGGGTGATTGCATTCCTGGAAAATCAAGTATTTATTAAAACTGTTTAAAAATTCTTTATGAAGCTGGGTGTACTGATGCACACCTGTAATCCCAGCACTCAGGAGATGGAAGCAGGAGGATTGCAAGTTTGGGGTCAGCCTGGGCTACATAGTGAGACCCTGCCTCAAAAGCACAATGAAAAACTCTATATATGTAAAGCTGAGTTATAGTCTAGGTTAAGAGGATTATAAATGTATTTTTATTTATATATTAAGTCCCAGGCAAGACGTTTAGAAAATTTAAAGTGTGCAGAGAAAAATTAGTATATCAGACCCTGGGATTTCCAAAGTGCCTCCCAGGGCATGGTTCTGATCTTTTCCTGCCTAAAACCAGGTGTGTGGGGGGGGATGGGAGGGGGGCTGGTGGCGAGAGGAAAAGGAGATTCTAAAGGCAGACAGGGCCGCCTCCCTCCCTCCATCCCGGTCTCCTCATCCTCCTATAGGCTGTCCCAGCATTCCGAAACCTCTTCCCAAGGCCCGTCCCCCGCAGGAGTCACTTCGGACCCCCAGCACTTATTAGTGTTTTCTGCAGTCAAGCTAGTTCTGTCTCATTTAATGGAATGGCAAAAATCACCCTAGGAGGAGTGAAGTTTATCTTATTTTACTTAGTCCCTTGAAAGGGACTTTGCAACCATGAATCCTTCTTCCTCTTGCATTACCATGCTTCCTCACAAGGTGGCACAAAAATGCCTTGCCGTGGTGGTCAATGGTTGTACACAGGCCCAATTTTGTTTCCCAGTGGCCTCTGACTGGTAAGATGAATATTCAACTGGCAGGTGTCCACAGAATACCTCGCTGGGGTTCAGAGTTCATAGTAGCCAAAGTAGAGGAAAACTCCACCTGCCTTTCTCCATTTAGATGGGAAAATGTTTACTTCAGTCAACTATAAAAGGTAAAATTCACAGGCTGGGGAGGTAGCTGGGTGGTAGAGCACTTGCCTAGTGTGGGTGAGGACCTGGACTCATCCCCAGTGCGTACACACACACACACACAAAAGGCAAAATTAAATAGCATGATCACGTCCTGATGGATATTTTAGGGCGTTGGCTCCTTGAAATGTTAAGTGTTTGTTATACAATTAATGCGGTGTTATAATGCAGCTTTCCTGGAGAGACAGATTCTCTTACTCATTTCTCCACAACTTCCTACACCGTGAAACTGCCAAGAAGGAGAGTGAAAGCTGATACTGACCTAGTCAGTCACCACAGCAAGATAGCTCAATGTCCTTTCTATAATAATTATAATGACTGTCACCATTCACTGAGCACGTAGGTGTAATAAGCACTTACCAAGGCCCTTTTCATTGGTGTTTACGTAATTCCCACAATACTTTTTGATGCAGGTACGAGGATTGGTTTTATATATGTGTGTATGTGTATATATGTGGATGGATAGATAGATAGATGAGAAAAAGTATGTATGTTGCTCCAAATCACATAGCAATTAAGTGACAAAGTAAGATTTGAGCCAGGCCACCCGAATTTAGAGGTAATTCTCTTAACCACTGTCCCATATTACTTCTGATATTTACTGACTACAAAATGAAGGGCAGATTATGTATTCACATTGGCATTATTTACTATGTTGCTTAATCAGTATTACCTTTTATATAGTAACTATCTTCGGAGGACACCAAATTGAATTGTTACAGTGTTGCTGAGCAAGCAAGGAGAAGAGAGACTTAATCAAAATTGAGATCATATAGGTAGAGAATGGGGAGGCCAACCATACATCAGCTCACCTCCCTGGCCTGCGGAGGTGGGACATGAGCACACCTTGCTTCTGTCTTGACCACCCATTTTTGTTGCAGGAGGCCGAGGGAAGGATGGAGCCCCCATCATCACTTTCCCAGAGTTTGTCGGGTTCAAACACATCCCAGAGGAGGACTTCCTGAATGTCGTGACCTACCTGACTAGCATCCCCAGGTGAGCTGAACACAGTGTTCCACTACCTTCTCACTCCCTGGCCTTGCTCTGCAAGCTACTTCTGTCAGGGCTGAGTGGAGATGGAATCTTCCAGCAGCTCAGTCCATACTGCATGCACCTGGGCCCTGCCTCTCACCCATCAGTTAGGAGCAAGGGCCATGGAAAGAGATCAGCTGTGAGCAGCTGTTGTTTTTGGCTGTGCCGTGCAATAAGAAGGCGTTACTGACCATCGTCCAGGCAGTGCCAAGCTGAGTGAACCAAGGATGCTGCGCTGCGTCATCGGGGCTCACTGCTCCAGTGTGAGGGTAGTCTGGCTTCCTGGGACCTGTTACCTATGACATGTGACCATTGCTTGAGGACCTCAAAAGACATCAGGAGCTGTTTCATTTCTCTCTCCTAAGGACACTAGGGGCAGAGTTCATAATTGTCATTGTCTGGTGGAGAAACTAGGCACAGAGCAAGGAGATGAGACATCAAGGGATAGAAACTGCTTGCAGCTCAGCCTGTGAGAGAAACGTTTTCTGGCTTCTGCTACTTGGGCCCATCCAGCCCAGGTCTCACTACATCCAGGTCTCCGAGGGATGGGGTATGGGACAGAGTCCATATTGGTCACCACACTTCATAGGTAGAATCAGAACTGGGAATGGGGTCCAAACCCTGATTCTAGAGAGAGCTGGAGCACTGTTGGTCGGCAGGGAGGCTTGCCAAGAAGGGCCTCGCCCTTCACGGGGTTGGATTGCACATGACGTCACCCCTTACTTAACTGCAGCTGGTTAAGAATGTACATAACAGCTATGTATGTGCTCTGTGCTTTCCATCTGCCTTATATGATTTACAGGTAAACACAAGCCCAGTGACTGAAAGGCCACCTGGAGTCTGATACCACCTGTGGCAGTTAGGATGTCACTTGTTCTAGCCAAACCCATCTAAAGGGGTTTATGGTTTTTGTTCTTTCTTTTATCCATCTTATTTCTTCAGAGAAGGCTAGAGATGTATTCCTTTAATTAATTATTTTACTTTTTGCAATACTGGCATTTGAACTCAGGGCCTTGCACTTGTTAGGTAGGCACTCTACCACTTGAGCCACACCCCAGCCCTAGAAATTTATTTTTAATGCCCTTCTTCAAAGTTCAGCCTTGCATTTTCTCTCTCCAATCCCATCTCCTCCACCAGTGCCACCTCCACGTGATAAGCATTAATGCAGACATGGGAGCATTTGGGGTGAGCCCTTGTTGCTCCTTCTCTGGGGTTGGTGCTTGCTTTTCTTTGCAGAAACCTCCCCCACCATCTAGGCCTGACTCCTACCCATTCATGGGTCCTGTGTCTGACCTCACGTCTTCAGGGAAGCCATCCCCAACCCAGTCTGCTCTCCCAGACTCTTTCCTTGATGCTTACAGACTCTGAGATTCTATCTTATAGAACACCATAGTATGTGCAAGTGATTTCTGCTTTGCCTATGAGTGTAAACTTCTCAAGGGCAGAGGCAATTTTTCTTCTTGCTGTCGATCTCTGTTGGGTTTTCAAGAAACAGTATTGGTAGCATTTCCAGCTCTGATGACTCATTCCAAGCCAAAGGTGTTGCTGTAGGGTGGACAGGGCACAATGACAGGGAGAGGAGAGCCCTCCCCCCCCACCACTCCTGCCTGTACTTCCCTGGGCTTTAGGGAGTTGAACTTGTACTCTCTCTTTGGTCCAATTGCATTTCAGGACAATGGCCCATGGGCTTAGCAATTTCTCCTTCTGTGGGAGCAGCAAGAAGGAGGGAGGGCACTGACATGGGGCATGGGTAGAAGTACCCCCATTTTCCTTGTATTTGCTATGTAATTTTCCTTAACCTTTAGGGATGCAGACACATGCTAAATTAAATGAGTGGTTTTCATCTTGTACTTGTGGTCTTTTCCAAATCACAGTGAGGACAGCACATGACTGCCATCTGAACCAGTGTGGAGACAGACGGTTATCACCCCTGCCTCTCCAAGGTAGAGACATGATAAAGCCACAGGCTACTGTTTGGGACCATTGAAATTTTCTGCTTTAAGTTCCTTGTCTAGATTCTTGTACATTAGGGAGTGTTTTCCTTTCCTAGAATACTGTTTTTCTCTTGAGAAAGAAGCTGTCAGGCCAGTTAGTTCCCTTTCGCCTTCCTGGCTCTCTCTCACCTCTCCAGGCAGCCCCATCCTTTGTTCCTTTCACCATTAAAACAGAGACAAAGGGGAAGACAGCCTGAAAGGGGAATTTGACCTGACCTTGATTTCCAGTTTGCAGTTCAGGTTGCAAAGAATGAAGCCATCGTGTTCGTTTTATGACTCCTTTTATTATGATTTGCATCTACCTGAATGTTACCTGGTTACCAAGTACCAGAGCCCTTCCCAGGTTGCAAAAGGTTTACTAAGCAGTTAGCAGAGGACTCATGGCATAGAACAAGATGGAAGTGATACAGTAGACAGGAAAATGGCAGGATGCTGGGGCAAGGGAAATGTATCTCTGTGCCTGAAATTAACAAGGATCTGCATTTGTGACTGGCTTGGGTCAGTGCAGAAAGGCTTCCCTTCTTCACCAGGTCTCCGAGTGAGTGCCAACAGTGTGAGGTGCTATAAAAGACTGAAAGAAGGGGCCATGAGACTGTGTCTTGAACCTCAGGAAATCCATCCCATACCCTGTTTTCATGATGGTTTCTGAGATATGTAAATAATAAGGTATTATAGGAGCTCAGAAGATAACAAAGTCAATTTCAGACAAAACAAAACAAAAAAGCCAGGGAAAGTGTCATGAATAACACGGCCTTAAAGGATAAAATTAATTCCTCAGGTAGATATGGAAGGTAACATTCCAGAGAAAGAACAGGGTGAGGTCTGAGAGGTTTGGATCAAAATCCAGATCCTACAAGTGTAGGATCTGGGGAAAGTGATGTGACTTCTAGTTGTCTCCCTTGGATTTTGAAAAAAATTATTTTGGTCCTAGGGTTTGAATCTTGAGCCATGCCCTCAGTTTTTTCACTTTTAGGTTTTTTTCTTTCTTTTTTTTTTTTTTTTCAAATTGTGATTCTCCTACCTTGGACTCCTCAGTAGCTGGGATTACAGATGTGAGCTCCCATGACCCACCCTGGATTTTGAAAATTTAAACAGAGCATGTTTGGAGAATTACAGCCTGTCCAGGTTGACTGGAACAGAGTGAGGCTCCTTCTCAAAGTAGTGAAACATGAGAGCTGGGGGACAATGGAGCAAATTGGGCAAGACCTTTGCCACTGAGGCACACAAAGAGGCCTTTGGAGGGTCTAAGAAGGGAACAGATTGATCTGGTGGTGGTGGGAAGCTGGATTGGAGGGAACAGGGACAAGGAGGCAGAGAGGCCAGATAGGGGCTTGTACACTGGGATAGGTTCAGAGTGGTGGGCGATGGCAGGAAAATCGGACAGAAGGGGACATGCAGGATGGATGGGCACTGGGAAGAGAGAACTTTAAGAGTCTCAGTCATACGTGTTGCTTTTACATATCGGGGCATGTGGCGTTCAGGCCTCATTTGGGGTTTGATGGTCTTAACTTTTTTTTTTTTTTTTACTGGGTTTTTTGGCCCTCCTTTATCAAAGGTCAAAGTCATGTGAGGTTGTCAACTTTGGTTTTATATTAACATCCCCTGGGGAATTTTAAGAATTCTGGATGCCCAGACCATAACTCAGACCAATTATGTTAAGGTTTTTGGGTGTGGAAACTGGTATTCCAGGTGCTTAAAGTTCCAAGATTATTCCCCTGTGTGCAGCCACAGTGAGGAGAGGGGCAGTGCCAGGAGCAGAGGAGCGGGAGTGTGGTGAAACTGAACAGGTGCTGGGGATACGTTAGGAAGAAGACTTGGAATCAAACTTAGCTTTTGGGTAAGTTGAAGTTTGGGAGTGTGGGAAACTGAAAGACTGAGAGGGCTGTGGCCAAATCTTTTACTTTTGTCTTTTCAGTTTGTATTTCTTTTCTTCAAATGCAATCAATGCAAAAAACAAACAAACAAACAAACAAAAAACCCCACCACACCCTGAGCATCCTTGACCCTTGGGATTTCTTTGCGGATTGATGGTAGTGTGTAAGCAACTATTAAATTATAAAGCTTCCCACGAGGGGCTCCTGGAATTAAAATGAATGAGTATAAGCACACACATTATTACCATTATGTCCTGAAGGCCTAAAATAGGCCCTCACCAACAACTGAGGGTCTCTTTTAGCATGTTAGTTAGCATTGGCTATGTAAATTAGACTGCCATTGCTTTCACAATCCAGCTTATAACAATAACTGAATAAATTGTAAGGATCAATTTCTCAGAGACATTACCTATGCAAGTAAGTAACCAGTAGTTATGGTGCTACTGGGAAATGGTGGCCTAGTAGAAGCCTTCAGGTCATTGGGGGAGTGTCCTTGAAGAGGATAGTGGGACCATTTTGATCAAAGGAGGATGCTGCAAATAGTAAAGTAAAATGGATTGTCTTTTCTTAGATTCCCTCAATTGTTCAAAATCATGCCAGAAGGTATTTCATTTTACAATTAGACAACTTTCTTATGTGTCATTTCCCCTGGCATTCTAATGGCCTTTCTTGTGTTTCTGTGTTTATAGAAATGGCATCTGTATTCATTGCATATTCTAATTTATTATTGAATGTGTGTAATGTATATACTTTCTTCTTAAAGACCTTATAATTCAGGCTGCTTGTTGTCTAGACCTGCTGCAAGCTGTAGAACTACATTGCTTTTTATTGTCTCTTGGGAAGGTCTTTTCTTCTTGGGTTTCATTTTCATTGAAACACTTTCAAGCTATTTATTCTTTTCAAAGAGTGTGTGGTAAGAGAATCTTAATTAATCTTGAATATCTGAAACTGCTATATTTTCCCCTCATGTTTGATTAGCAGTTTGCCTGAGGATAGAAATTTTATGTAAATTAACATTGATCCATTGATTTGTAGCATCCAATGTTACTGATGACAGGCAGATCTTTCTCACATATATATGATTCTTATTTTTAAC